TTAGAAGGAAGCTCATCCCATTTTTGTACATAGATTTTACTCAACAGTAGTTGACAATACTACATTTCTGGTCTTGGAATTGGTGTAATATAGCAATATTGGCTATCAGAAAGAATTAGATTCTTGAAAAATCTTAATTGGTTTAGCTGACCTTCCATTGAAAGATACTAAGATGAACCCATCGCTCTCGATTTTTTTTATCTGCGCCAAGGCTAGAAGAACCATTGGGTCAGTTTTTATTCATTAGTTCAAGGCCAGAAGCGCCCGTTCTTGTGTCATTGTATCATATTTTTGATAATGTCACTGATATCGTCTTGTGTTTTTTTGCGCTTCTTGGGTTGACCATGTTCACTGAAAAGTATTTTCTCATTACTTTCGGATCCAACAAAGTTGTTCTTTTCGAAGAGTTATGATTTTTCTTTGATTCTTGAACTCTCTTATCTGCTATTGGTACCCTACTTCGCCTCATGATTTTTATTTACAGTTTTCCTTGTTTACAATATTTATATTTACAAGTCCTAATCTAAAGTTTAAAGTCTGAAAAAATGTTCCCAATTCTCTTAATTAAAAAAAATTATTCTAGTTTTAATCTCAAGCTGCTTTTGTTTGTTCTGACAGGTTCCTGGTGCTTTATATTCAAGTATTGGTACACCTCGCCCTGTCCTAGGACCTCTTGGTTGTAGTATTGGGACACTTCGCGCTGTCCCAAGACCTTTCGTTCAAATGTTGGTACACTTCACACTGTCCCAGGACCCTTTGTCCTAGTGTTGGGACACTTCGCACTGCCCAAGACCTTACACTTAAGTGTTGGGACAACTTCACACTGTTCCAAGACCACCCACTCAAGCGTTGGGACACTTCATACTGTCCCAAGACCCTAAGTCCTAGTGTTGGGACACTTCACACTGTCCCAAGACCCTTCGTCCTAGTGTTTGGACACTTCACACTGTCCCAAGACCTAGTGTTGGGACACCTCGTACTGTCCCAAGACCTTATACTCAAGTGTTGGGACACTTCACACTGTCCCAAGACCGACCGTTCAAGTGTTGGGACACTTCGCACTATCCCAAGACCCTTCCACTTAAGTGTTGGGTCACTTCGCACTGTCCCAAGACCTTTCCACTCAAGTGTTGGGACACTTCGCACTGTCCCAAGGCTTCCTGCTCAAGTATTTCGACTTCTCGTACTGTCCTCAGACATCTTCGTTCCAGTGTTGGGACAGTCGGATCTCTTCTTCTTCGGTGTTGGGAAACTTAGATCACTGTCCATGGTACCACCACTTGAGCCCTAGTGTTGAAAATTCCCCAAAACCCAATCTTACTATCAAAATTTTTACCTATTGGCCCCCTTGTAATCACCTCCCCCTATTAATCCAATTCAAGTCAAAATAAGACTTGTTAGCAAGTGTCTGGTGATCACCTGTTCTTCAAGTACCGATAAAATTAATTCGAAAATCGTAAAAATTTAAGCGATAGAAATTCTAAAAAACAAAAAGATGAACCTACCTAAAATTCAAAGGTGACCAATGTCGTCCTTTCGTAACAAAAAAATTGTCTGGTACCTGATCGTCGCGCGTTTTCCTCCCCCCTACTAACGATCTTATGGGGTGTTCTACTTTCGGGTTTCAGGAACTGTCTATTTCCGATCCCCCACCCGATCCTACCAGGTCACCTACCTTAATTCGATCTTAAATTTGGGTATCCTCGCGTTGCAACTCTTGTTCTGGGTCTAGAGATGAAATTTTCCAGACTCTGGCTCTTCTAATGTAACTATGATCGAAGATATTGATTATAGTTACTATAATGTTTCTCCCCTTTTTACAATTTGCAACCGCCAACCTCTAACTTAACCAGCCCCCCTTCTAACCTCCCCCCTTTTTAGCCCCCCTCTTAAGCCGAAAATTAGCTCAAGCGTGATGGGTGCTAAACCTCTTGAGATAAAACCGAAGAACCTGTTTCCAAGCTCTGCTCAAGTAAAAACGTATCCTCAAAACAGTGGGTATCCGCTTATCCAATTTTACACTTATCTCCTATAATGTAATGTGGATTTTAACGATACCCGATTGACCAAACAAAACACCCCTCGGTGTCCTACTCTGATTCTTCTGATTCCGTGCTGGTTGTCTCCTTGGCGTGTCCAGCACCTCTCTCCAGCACCACTTTCCTACTTGGCTGGTCACCTGTTCCAGTCAAGTCTCTCAGTGGTTCGTCGATTGACCAAACAGAACACCCCTGTGTGCCCTTCTCTGTTTGTTTTCGTCCGTGCTGGATGTCTCTTTGGACTTTCCAGTACTTCTCGGGTCCCCTTCTTGAGAACCACTCTACCACTTGGCTGGTCACCTGTTCCAGTCAAGTCTCCTAGTGGTCCGGCGAAGTTGCAAGCTATCTGAAAACCCTTAACAACGTCCCACACTCGGGCACCTGTATAAAGTTGCTGACTTGATCGAAACGATCCGTCTTATTGGAAAACAGCATGGGTATACTATTTCAATTATTATGAAGGTTTGATCCACCCAATCTGGGAGTCAAAGCCACTGTCTTTTTTATGTTTTATGGTTTTTTGTTCCTTTTTCTGTTCTTTTTTGTTTTTTGTTTTACTTTTTCTCTTTTGCTTGTTTTTTTTCGCTAGTTACCCCCCTTACTCGGTTAGCTAGGCCTCGTTCGGAGAGCGTACCAGGAAGTTTTCTCGAGTTTTTGTAAAAAACTATCACGGTACAACCGGAAGGCTTACACGTTCCCGCTGAACCGTACCACCGGTACTGTAGGATGGGGATGTAGCCCGGAGCTGTGTCAAGTTGGTTTGATCCCGAAGTCTTGTTGTCGTAAAAACAGCCAGGAGTGCCAAAAAAACACTATAACAGTCGCCTACTTAAATCACATATGAGGCTAAAAAAAACAGGTCCACTAACCATTGACTCAAGAGTCAGGGACACTATCTTTTGTGTTTTTCTACCTTGAACGGTCGGAGCCAATTCGGTTCACTTGCGACATGAGACTAAAACCCTCGTTACAGCTTAAAGGCCACTACCAAAATACCCCCCACTCTAGAAAATAAGAATGTCCCCATACTTAGGTCTCAAAATACCCAAAATACGCGAGTGTCGTTAAAAACAGGGTCGGAGCAGTCCGTATGGTTACTTTTTATTAGACAGTGAAACTTTAATCCATTCCAGATGGATCAACCTAAAATTCTCCTTATCTCAACATAACAATTATAAATCACACTCAAGAAAACTAAATTGGGTACTCACATACCAGCACACTCGAGATTTGGAACAACTAAATTAATCAGTAACTCTAGCATTAAGGTAATCAAGTTTTAACTCAAGAAGTTTGTAATCAATTAATTCCAGCAAAGGAAATGAGTTTTGACTCGAGAATTGAGTTTTGGAACTGGACCATTGGGAAACCCCAGCTGTCCACCTTTCCACTGAGGGTTCACTCTGGTCCACTTCCCTCTTGTCTCTGTTTTGCTCGCAATCGCTCTGCTTCCTATTCAGGATAGCACAGCTCTACTCTCGTGTGATTTTTATGTCTAGAAATTGCGAATAGCAATTATTTCTCGCTGCTTTTTCAACTACTTTCCCGCAATTGTAATTCGGTTGTTCTAATCTTGTATTTCTGAGATTTTCAGTTTTCGCGAGAAAGTTGAGCATGACAGGCTCAATTCGAATTTTTGAAAAATTACATTTACCCCAAAATTACGTTGTTCGTATCCCTCAAGGTCAAACTTCCAAATATGACCGACTGGCACATACTCTTTGGACTCAAGATCGATGTCCTCATCGCGTGTTGCCGTCTGCCAGTGAGTTCCAGAATGCTGAGTGTTGCTAAAGATACAGTGCCAGTGGTCATTTACAGAAGTTTGCAGCAGATTTTAAATCTATCTACACCCCAAAATTCGCAACCATATAAAATTGTCACACTATCGCTGAACAGCAATCAAAATTTTCATATACCTGCAAATTAAATCTCCGCTTTGGAAGCTAATGATTTATATATTTTTTGTCCTATCCAATCGGAAAACTGTCATGCAACATTTTGATTTACATATTAATTATAGCATATTAATAACAATATTTTGTTTCGTTATATTTTCTTTTTTCGTGAACTCGGATTTCATCTGAGTTCACACTCGAGACTCTTTCCTTTCCTCTCAAGACTCAAGAAACCCGCTTCGAGCCCCCTGCTCCTTTCGTATTCCTAGCCTTTGAGGTGCTAGGTCCTGATGAGTTTGACACCGTGATCTGCCTTAGCAGCGCTTCCTCATCATCGGAGCTGATCACGATCTCTTCCCACTGCTCGAAGGATCGCATCCACTCCCTCTGCTCCTGCAACCTCTTTGCCTGATTTGGTAAACCTTTCACTTTCGATTCCCTGTTCAAGCAAAAGGAATTGTGCAGGCTCAAGCTCACGTTCTTCGCCAAGTCCTCCTCCAGTATCGATTCTCTCGCTTTGGTATTGTCTCTAGGCGCCCTACCGACTCTTTTCCAACCTGTCGTGATCGCATTTCGATGGGTCAGCAAAGGTCTCTTGAAGGCTTCCGGTCCTATCTCTGCCAGGAACTGTCGATATTCTTTACTATGTTTTTTCATGTGGTCTTTCGTCACCATATACAACCAAGATGTCAATGTCGCTCGAAACCACGGGAAGAATCTTATGCGGCTCCATACGTGCCAAAATCATGTTTCTTGTGTTGCTCAAGGTCAAACTTCCAAATATGACCGACTGGCACAATTTTTGAATGCGTTGGTCGTTTTCGAGTTTTTTACTTCTCGTGGCAGGTGTAAATATGTGCTTCGAACGCAAGTTTACTATCAATGATAACTCCCAGATCATTTTCTTCCTCTACTTATTTCAATTTTGATGTTTTACGGTCATTTAGATTAAAATTCTTGACGATGCACTTAATTGCGAAAACGTTTCAAATCTATTTTTTGTCAAAAATTTCTATTTGAACAGCCATGGCTAACTCTAGCTGACTTTTATTTGTTCTAGATTTGATGTCTTGGCTCAGCCCACATTTAAAACGACCTTGGAGGCCCCAAAACAATAGTTTTTCATCGCCACCTGGGCACCAGTTTAATCAAGGATACATTCATCAAACCCAGCAGCACTTTAACCATCAGTTCCACAACCAGTATAATTCGCCTCAAAACTTTTCTCCGCGGAATTCTTTCAGCCCGAGATATCAGAATAACAGAGGTCGTCCTAGATATCAACAGAGGTTTAGCGGCAGTCCTCGTTCTGAAGCAAACTCAACATCTGCAGAACTGACGGGTGGTTACCGCAGCCAACAAGGATTGTAAGCTAAATTTAATTTATTCGGCTAAAAGAGTTATGTGGCTTGATTTTCTGCGAATTTAATTGCTTAGATGTAATGTATCTCAGTTGGCTTTCAAAAAAATGAACACGTGATTTTGAATAAACTAATAGCCCTGCAAAAGATAAAATTTATGTTTGCGGAAAAGATAGCGTAGAATTTAAATGTCAGAAGTAGATTCTGTTCGAGCATCTCAATGTTTACCAGGTTGTTAGAAGGAAGCTCATCCCATTTTTGTACATAGATTTTACTCAACAGTAGTTGACAATACTACATTTCTGGTCTTGGAATTGGTGTAATATAGCAATATTGGCTATCAGAAAGAATTAGATTCTTGAAAAATCTTAATTGGTTTAGCTGACCTTCCATTGAGAGATACTAAGATGAACCCATCGCTCTCGATTTTTTTTATCTGCGCCAAGGCTAGAAGAACCATTGGGTCAGTTTTTATTCATTGGTTCAAGGCCAGAAGCGCCCGTTCTTGTGTCATTGTATCATATTTTTGATAATGTCACTGATATCGGAAAATCTTTGTCTGCCTATATCATAAAACCTCTTGGAAAATAAAACAGGTCTAAAAACGATTACATATACAAATAATCAACGATATAAATTAAATTGCAGAGGCATCAATTATCTAATTATTTACTAAATTTCTCGGGGTCGACAGTTCTCGGGGTCGAGTCCCTCCGGAACTTGTTTTCTTTTGCACTATGAAAATATCTAAGTATGTATAGCTTGCTTTATATAGAACCTCGTCACCATACCGGGCTTTTTCAGTTTTTGTTCCGACCATTGAAAATGGAGCGGAACTTTGTATTCAGGTGTGTTTTAGGTTTTTTTCTGTTTTTTACTTTTTTTGTTTTTCAGGTCATCGTAATGGGTCGAGTGATATATCATATTAAAGCCCTTTCAGTAGTAATTTGAACATCAAAAAATTTTTTGAAAAAATGTTATTATTGTTGAGAAAAATCAGTTTGAAGTTTTCAATTTTTGGTATAATTTCGAGCAAATAGGTGAGCATGCAGGCTCACAATAGCTTATTTATACTTAATTCAAATAATTTTTAAAAGCATTTACTCCAGTAAAGTTAGTGTTTGGAGTTTTTTAGCGCCATTTTGGGAATCAAAATTTTCAAAAAAAAAAAAAAAAATCTGCAAAATTTTCTTCGACTCCAACGAACTTAACAAAGATACCGTGCAGAAAATCTACTAGCACTTCTTTATTAGACACAACTCCGAGGAAAACAAATGCACATGGAGAATAATGTGCAGATGTGGAAACTGTAGCATGACAAACGATAAAACTAAGTTGATGAACTTGAATCTGGGCGCGAACCGTTGAGAACTGTCTCTAAGTCTTTTAGTTTTACCACTAACTACTGCTGAAACTGTTTTCCAATGGGCCTATTTTACTATGACTGTCGAATGTGCCTATGTTCTATTTTTTTGTTCAACAGTTTTTCATCCAACGACGCAGAAAAAAAAGACACTAATTTGAATTAACATTTTTTTGCATTTTTCCAAGACTGTGGTCGCAACATTCTGTGCTACTTGCACAGTAACTGGGTATCCTTGCTTTCACAAGCAATGCTTGTGTTATAGTATGAATCATCGTTTTTTTCCAACCTGAGTCGCAAATATTTGTTGCGCTTATTGTGTTCATTTTGATCAATAACCAGCTATCAAGTACAGCCAATGCTAAGGATATTAACACAGACTATTTTTGTTTAGACTGTTCCGGTTTTTTTTATCATTCGAAAAGTATTGTTTTCCTGAGCTTAAATTTGGAAAGATATTTTAACTGTGATCATTTTTTGTAAAATTATGGGGATTCACTCATTGTTATTTGGGACAATTATCGCGCGATTTATTTCGCGCTATTAACGCGTAAGCGGAGATTTAATCCGTAATAGAAAGCGTTCCAAATTGGTTAAAGGAAGCTTATTTGCCATAATCGATTGGTTACTAGGAGCAAAATTTATCATTTTGTACTTAATATGGCGTGTGGGGGTATGATTTTCACAAAAAAATCTCAAATTAAATAAGAAGTTTCTTTTATTTTATTTTATATAGTTTTTTCATGCTATTACTGCTCCATAGACTGCTCTATAAATTGAGGCATGTTGGTTGGTAAATTTCTTTTTCTTAAATTGACTGCTATTGCGTCATAATTGGCGTGTATCACTTAAGAAATTTTGTAGGCTCAAAGTTTTACTCTTTCAGTTTTTCCTAGTAGCGTTATCGGTCATAATTTTGCTTGCTTATGCGAATTGCAACTTCGCTCGTGTTTGTGAATTGCCCGACTTGCAACTTCGCTTTTTGTGAAAGTTTTCGCTTTAATATGGAAACTCAACATAATTCACGCCCCTTTGAGGTGGTACATGAGGTCTAGGGTTTGAGTCCCGACCGTACCTGTTCTTTTTTCGATGTGCTTAAACAATTTTTTTTTCGAAAACTTGAAAAGTGGGCCTATCATTTGTCTTCCTGTTTTTAGTCGGGTTAATGTCCAAAGCATGGAGCTTTTTATTAAAGCATAAGTGTTTTTCTTATTTAAGCAATTTGAACTATAATTGAAAGTCGCTCTGTAGTTTTTAAGTTCTATTTTGTATACTTATCTTTTCTTGGATGGGTATATCTTTGCTTGGTATACTTAGCAAGGCTTTTTCTTTGCTATATTGACTTAAACTATTTTATTTTGGCTCAACTGGTGTTTACCATATTATTGTTGACTAAATTGCCGCTCGGTAAATCATTTTAGTGCTAATTTAACGGCGGTGATTGTGTTCCTCGGCAAAAATGAACATAGTTCTATACGAATTAATGGAATTTTTGTAGATGCAATTTTGGAATTCTTAAATCTATTATATATTTAAATGCGGGCGTCACTATCTAGCCATGTTTAAGCGTATTCAACGTATCATTTTTGCATATTTAACAAAAGATTTTTTCACGTCTAAGCCATATTGTATATTGCAATGGTTAAGATTTTTTTTTCGATTTTCCAGTCTGATTTCCAGGATTATTTCATCAATTTTGAAATTAGCCATCCATTAGTGTGTTGCTGTTGTCAGGGTTCTCCAGGCGTTGCGAATATGGTCTCCTAAATCATTTTAGTTAACGAGATTTGATGTATTTTTTTATATTTTAATTAAAAGTTTTTTTCAGAAAACTCAATATCAAAAAAATCACAAACATTGAAACTCTCAACCCTGTAGTTGAGGGCTGTTAATGTATTGTCAGGAATTGCAACTCTTGTTATAAAATAAGACTGCTCAAATTTCTTTTCAATTTTTAATAAAACTTAAATTTTAAGAATTTAAAAGATTTGAACTTCCCAACCTTGTAGTTGGGTACTGCTTCTGTGCTCTCAAGAGTTTCAGATTGCCAATCTTGCGTACAAACGCGACTGCTCTTAGTTTTCGATGTGATGTTTTTTCGGTCTTTTTTTAAAATTGTTAAAAGAAATTAGATATAAAAAATTTCACAAAATTTGAAGTTCACATCCTTATAGTGAGGCTCTGCCAGGGTACTCCCAGTAGTTGCAAATTTTGTCTCCAATTATGGCTGCTCAAATTCTTGTAGTTTTCGAGAAATGACGTTTTTTGTGATTTTTTTTTTCAAAAAGTTTTCTCAAATTCAAGTTTTTTCTTCAAGTTTTGACATTCCCTACCCTGTAGTTTTGGGCAATCAGAGTACCCTCAGGGGGTTGCGAATCTTGCCTCCAAATCTGACTGCTCAAATCCTTGTAGTTTTCGAGATATGACGTTTTTTAGTGATTTTCTTTTAAAAAAATTAGATTTATTAGAACTTAAATTTATTTTTTTTTCATTTTGAATTTTCCAACCCTCAAGTCAGAAAACTCTCAGGGGTTGCCAATATCTTGCCTTCAAATGTGACTACTCATTTTTTGTAGTTTTTCAGATATGGCATTTTTAAAATCCTTTTCTAATCCTGTAGTTGGGGACTGTCAGAGTACTCGGGGCTTTCGAATCTTGCCTCCAAATATGACTGGTCAAGTTTTTATTTTTAAAAGTTTGTCGTTTTTTATAGTTTTTCGGAAAAAAATTGAGGAAACTTGAATTTGAATTTTCTCAAAATTTGAAATTCCCAACTGTAGTTGGGTACTGTGAAATTATTCTCAAGAGTTGCAAATCTTGCGTTCAAATGCGACTGCCCAATTGCTTAACGTTTCCGAGATGTGACGTTTTTTATTTCATTTTAAAATTTTTAAGATTAAAGTTGTCACAGAGTTTTATGGTTTTTCAAAATTTGAATGAAAAAACATGAATATGTTTTTAAACATTTTTTGAAATTACCAATCCTGTAATTGGGTGCTGTTAGAGTACACTCAAAGAATGCAGATTTTATTTCCAATATATGCGGTTTTTCATGCGTTGTTAAAAATTCGAAGCACCGGAGGTTCGTTACGCGCTAATATAATTTCTTCGCCTCTGTGTCAACTGCCGAGCACGCAGCATAAATTGCGTTCGTTTACTTTTGCGATGAGTTTTCGCACCAGTGTAAACTTCCGAGCACCAATTTATCTGGATTTATATAGCCGTTTTTGAAATCAGTGTAATTTATTGGAGATTCAGTAACTTTTGGTTCTAATCAGAGTTTATTTTTATACTTTTCTGAACTGAGTATCTGAGGGAAAGGCAGGTTGGCTTTTTTTACTGTGCTTTTTGCACAGCAAGCGGCTCTCCTGCTTTTACTTCGATTTCATACATCAGTTCTTTCGCTTAGCTTGTGTTGAAGTTAATTATCTATAGAATATTAGTTTTGCGGTAGTTTTCAAAGATAAGATTGTTTTATCTAATAATTCTTTCATTTTTTGGCTCAGTTTTAATATTGTTGTTCCAGTAATCAAGACAGCGAGCGTCACAATCCCTTCTTCCATCCTGCAATGATGCAGAACCCTTGGGAAGGTCTCGAAGAAGACTTCGATGAAGTCAGAGACGAGCTACTGGAAAGTGCTCAGGAGCTTATTCTTACAATTCCAATGACAGTTTCGCAATGGATCCGGAAGAAACCTCGAGTTGAAGAAATGCCTTGCGAGGAATCGAATGCCGATACTGAGAAGTCTGCTAAAAGTATAGCTAGGCTAGCTGATACAGTTTCCCAAATTGAAGATCAGCTTAAAGCTCATCAAAGTACCATAGAAGATAAAACTGCTGTTTCGATCAAAGAAGAGAATCCAGAGTCGGAGCTTTTGCTTCCAGGGGAGTTTCAAATTTCTATTCCAAATGATATAAATGTTAAAATTGAAAACGAAGAAGAAATGGAGGAAAATGAACAAAAAATGATAGAAAATGATAAACTAGATGGAACTGAAGTAAATGAAAAGGAAACTTTAAGTGTATCTATTGATAACTCAACTCCTCTTAAACCTGCCATGTTTGATCGGAGTTCTTTTAGTGAAAATGTTTCTAATATCGTCCAGTCGCCGCCAGTTTTAAATAGCCAACCGGCTACGCCGGACAGAGTAGTGAAGCCGCAGCCTCTGCAGCCTTGATTGCGTTTTCATTTTTGACCTGATCTTTGTTATGATTAGTATAAGTATTGATATTTATATTTGCGTCGAGTGCGTCAAATGCACTTTACCTTTTGATGTTAAGTTTATTTTTCAAAGAAACGGTTTTGTGAGTTCAATTACAAGTTTTATCATAGATTTTAATCTGAAATAAGGCGAAATTAATATGCAATTAATAGCTTATGCTAATAAAAGCTAACTTATTTGAAAGTAATAAAATTAGCTACCGGAAATTTAAGGTAATTGCCAGAATCCGAAAAACGATATTGATTGATGACGTGATGTAAATGTCATTGTTTCAGATTAGATGATTTGTATCAGAAATTACATAATTTTCTATCCGCTAGTTTCGTAAGTCACTTATTACATTTTGTTCAGAAGTAGCTTAGATGGAAAAAGAAGAGGTCAAACCTTGGAGCGAGGTCAAACTGCAGTATGTCAACGATGCAGACCCATTCAACTTCGTCGACTACAAGCAGCCCTCATTTTCAAGAGCTCCCAAATATGCTTTTCTTAAACATTATCCCTTGTCATCTCAAATACCAACCATACATGCACTACTTAAACCTCCTTTTTCGTCACAAATATCGACTCTTCAGTTGTCGCATAGTGGGATCTATTTGGACATGGAAATCGCGGTGGAAGATCAAGCGGATTTCTTCGAAGCTTTCAGCTCTGCGGCCGGTCACAGCGTAGTCTTACGCACGTCTTTAATGCACCGCGTCGAGTGCCTTAAACAGAATCTTTTAAGCTGTGCGGACAGAGAATTACGACGCTCATTGTATCACGTGCATCGGTTGTTCCAAGAAGACAAAGATTTGATTCCGGAATTCGTCCAAAACGGAGGTCTCGATTGCCTGGTTGAACTGGGAAAAGTTGATGACCAGAACCAGCAGAATTATGTGCTAAGAGCAATGGGACAAATAATGTTTTTCATTGATGGAATGGAAGGAATCATTAATCATAATGAAACGATACAATTTCTCTACTCGCTGCTTAGTTCCAAATACAGATTCGTTTTAACGACAGTGCTTAAACTGCTTTTTGTTTTTGTCGAGTACCAAGATTCTAACGTGCAACTCATGATACAAGCTGCCAATATTGTCGATCAGAGCAACCATCAGGTACCTTGGTACAATCTAATGAAGGTTCTGGAAACGCAGCCTCACAGTGATCCGGATATACTACTTAACACGTTCAAACTGCTTAACACAATTCTTTCTTCCATACCAGACCAGGATACGTATTACGACATCGTGGATTCTCTGGAAGAACAGGGAATGGAGCGCCTGATTCAAAAATACCAGGCTAAACAGTCTCAATGTCGAGGTCTCCTGAAGGAACTAAGACAGTATGAAATGATGTTGCGTCATGAAGATGCAGGCGATGATGACGTGCTGTCGTTTGACATCAAAGACATGAAGTCACATTCTGATTGGTCAATTGGATCTCGAAGGAAAAGTCGCAGAACGTCTGAATCGGGATACCTGAAAACAACAGCTCCCTCTCATTTAGGACTGGCAAGGTCAATAAATGTAAGTCCAGAGAATACGCTAGCTGGTCACTCGAAACGAGAATACTCGAGCACTGATAATATTCTCTCTGGTTCAAGAGGAAACACTTTGCGAAGATGGAACAAAAAGATGATAATCACAGACTCGCCTGAAGATACAATAATGGTTCCAATGAAACTCGCTCAAAAAATGAAAGAAGAACCGGGTGGTAAATTGATCTATGCACCAAATGGGCATAGTTCTCTACCACATCACCATCACAATCATTCTTCACATGATCAGACCAATTTGGGGTCCGATTTTGAACTATGTACAGACCCTAATTGCAAAGGTGCACCAATAAAAACCAGTCATGGTCACAGCCATGGGACGAATGCAAGTAATGAGATTCTACAAGCCAAATTGGACCAGTTGTTGAAAGAAAAGCAAGAGAAAAATGGATCCAGTTTTGATTTGCTACAGAAAACTGGAGACAAAAGTCGTATTTTGAGGGAACGAAAGCACGTGAATGCAGAGGATTTAAACATTCCCAAAGTCGAAGTATCCTGCGAAGATTTCACAGAGTACTTAAGTAGTCGGAAAAGACCCACTGGTCTGCGAGATAAAGAAGGTCTAGAAAACGACACTCGAAATGACGAATTCTCTCCAAAAAACTCCGAAGGTCCTTCTGTTCCAAAAAGTAAAGCCAAAAATGAGCTTTTTGAAAAATATTTTGATAAAGATCAAGAAGAGCAGGAAAAGAAAAGTCCCAAAGATGCAACTCCAGGAAGTAAAATTAGAGGTAAACTAAAAGCTCAGGAGCAGGAGGACGAAGAAAATGTGAACGAAAGAAAAGCTGATAAAAAGAAGGAGATGACATCCAAAGATAAAGACACTGTCGATAAAAAAGAAAAAGACAAAGATAAGGAGCGACGAAAGACGGTTGAGCTGAAAAAGAGCAAAGAGCAAAAGGATTCGAAAGATGACAGTGGAGATTCCGATAAAAGCGGAGGCGAAGATGCCGCGGGTGGGAGAGATGATCCAAGTGACCAGGAGGGAACGAGTGCCGGTAAAACGAACAGAAGAACCGGCGGCAAGAAGAGCGGTACCAGAAAAACCACAGAACTCGAGAGCATAATTGCAATATCGAGGAACAAAGACGGAACCACTGGAACCTCAGTCGACGATGGCTCCACAGAACCCGTTGAGATAAACCCAGTGTTGTCGATCAAAGGTCTGGACTTTACGGATTTGACAGAATTCGACGAATCGGATGTTTTGTCGGTGAATCCCGCAGCAATTTTGGGTAATGTGACGCCAGGAGGGGTTCCACCGCCTCCGCCTCTTCCAGGAATGGCTGGGGTACCTCCTCCCCCTCCGCCTCCTCCACCTCCTCCAGGCGCACCTCCTCCGCCTGCGCCACCGGGACTACCAAATGCCAGTGCCAAGGGACCTGCCAAAAAGAAGACAGTAAGGTTGTACTGGAAAGAACTCAAAAGCAACAAATCATCAGTGGAACTGTTCAAAAAACTAGGCAAAAATTCCACAATCTGGACTGACATTCCGAAAGTAGAAGTGAACACTGAAGAGTTAGAATCACTTTTCGAGTCGAGAGCAACTGAGTTTGCAGCACCGAAAAAACCTAGTAAAGAAGTGAACATTTTGGACAAAAAGAGATCAGATAAGATAAACATTGCGTTGACTAAACTACCTCCTCCTAGAACAATCAAAGCTGCTATTTTGGCCATGGACAATCTAGCAATCACGAAAGAGGGAATCGAATTGATAATCAGTGTTGTTCCCACAGACGAAGAACGAAAGTCAATCACAGAAGCAAAAACGAACAATCCAGATCAGACTCTAGGTAACGCCGAGTCCTTTTTGCACCTTTTGTCGACAATCCCTGACTTGAAGCCAAGGCTGGATCTTTGGCATTTCACTTTGGAGTTTGACATGATTGTTGAAAAAGAACTGGCGGAACCTTTGATGGACCTTAAAACTTGCATTAATGAGATATTATCCGCGACAACGCTCAAGTACATTCTATCAGTTTTGCTATCAATGGGTAACTTTCTAAATTCGTCGACAAGTTCAGGATTCGAGCTGAATTTTTTGCCAAAAGTAGCAGAAGTTAAAGATACAATCAAAAAGCAGACACTACTTTATCACGCATGCAACACAGTGTTGAAAAATTTTCCATATTCGTCTGATTTATATTCGGAAATTCCGACAGTGAGTCGTGTAGCCAAAACCGATTTCGACGCTGTCGCAGAAGCGTTGGGTAAGTTAGAATCCCAATGCATCAATAATTCTCACAACTTGCGAATTGTTGCAAAGTACGAAAATTTGACAACGAAAACGAAATTGCAAACTTTTCTCGCAACAGTTGCTGAAAGTGTTATAGTTTTAAAGATAGTCAATCGAAGAATATTGAACAGATTTAAGAGATTGTTACTATTTCTTGGCTACCGCCCCGAAGTAGCAAAAGATGTCAAAATTTCTGATTTTTGTAAGATGCTGAGTGAGTTTGCCTTGGAGTACCGTTTAACGCGTGGCAAAATTATGGAACAGAAAGAAAAAATTGAAAAGAAACGCGAACGAAACAAAACTCGGGGTAAATTAATAGTAGATGAAAAATTGTTATCGGGAAATTCAGCTACTAGTCCGTTAAATAAAACCGACAGCTCGAAATTGATGCCTAATGGCGTAGAACATGAGGTCGAATCGCCATTGGCAGCTCTGGGAAAACGCCAGAGACCTGGAACCAGGAAGTCAGTCGGAACCCCAAACACACCTGCGCAAAGCCAGATGGTCAACGGAAGTAGTGGCAAAGAAACAGCAGGGGATGAAAAAGGCGATGAAAATGATTCGATGGTAGATACTATGATGGATATTTTACTGAAAAGTTCGAATATTTCACACGCTTCAGGACAGAATAGGCGTGAAAAAAGAGCCCGCAAGGGTGACCGAAAATCAGTTAGACGAACACGAATGGGACTATCTCATGAAGACGCCGAGAAATTAGGCCTGATGGGAAAAACACCAACTGCCGTGTAAACAACACCAACAACCACAACAACAAACTGCAACAGTCGTAGTTTATTTAGGTTTAGATGATTTAATCAATGCGTACAATTTCAATGTGGTTGTTGAATTCTGTATATTTATTCTATCAGTAGAAATAGTCTGTCGTTTGCTTGTCTAGCTCAAACTAATTGCTGCGTCGAACATCAGGTCTTGTTGAAGAGCCAGCCTGTTTTTTTTTAAAGGCTTTGAAGCCGATGATCAGAACTGAGTTCAAGTTCCAGGCCATAGGATGGGAGTTCCGAGTCCCTTATTCTCATTTCTTATTGAATGCAGTCAAAAAATATTCTTGTGATTGTCCATAAAAAGCATTTTTATTTTATTTTAGCGTCGCGACTGGAGAAGTCACTACGGTCACATTTCGAAGAAGTCAGACAATTTTTGATTCTTTAATTAGCACATAGTTGAACTTATCCGAAAGCTTATACAGAATTCGAAAACATAATCGAACGTCTTTAGAGGCCTTTTAGATGCCAATGAACCTGAATTGGCTGGTTGTTTTAGGTCAACGTAGTAATTTGTTTTTCTTGTTTAATGTAGCCCTCATAATTATCTGCAGTCAACTATTCTATAGGCTAGTGCAAGTTGTATAAACTAATATCATTTAGAACAGCAAAAATTAACCGGGAAATGGTATTTATTTAGACAGCTCTGTGAAATCAAGAAAGCCCTTAACATCCAAGAGCCATTCAGATCTTAGTTTAAAGTATGCAAGTTGTATTTAAATTTCTTCACGTCAAAGTCAGATTTTATAGGCTCAAATTATGAAGAAATTGATGATTGAGATGAAAAATGGTATATTTTACTAGACAGACTTCTTAAGTCTAGTTAATCTTCTTAATCGAACCAAGGGAGAGGAATATTTCACACATTGGCGATAAAATAACCAGACCCATTTATAAGCGCGCTATGACAAATATGTCTAGCGGCGGTACATTTCCTACCGTAGAGAAGAGAAAATAATTTTGGTACAGCATGTAAAAACAGCTTTGTAGTTTTCGTCTGTGACTTTAAGAGCAACTCAAAGAGTGTTTCTCGGACTTTGTTCTAAGTAAAGAAAAGTATTTCCTCGGGCAAATTTCCCCAGTTTGAAATAGATCGAATTGTTGCTTGATTCGAAAGGTTGTAGCAGGTTTCATGTGCAGTATTGCAGTGATACAGTAAAAACTGCAAATTGGAAAGATTAAATTTAATTAAATTAAAAACGGCTGGCTCTGAGACAAACAACATGCGTATTCAATCCTAAAAAATGGTGTTATGAGTTTCTTTTTGAAGAAGTAATTTGATGTCATATCATTGATAACTTTGCCTTGTGAAGTGAACATTACGGTCACAAAGAGAACTTGCCTTGTTCGTCTGCTATAATTTCTCTAAAAATCTGCGATGCTCTGTGAATAAATTTTCGATAAAATTTTGTCCAATTTGCGATATCTGAATCAAACCATAAAAATTGTTTAATTTGCAATCCTATTTCATAATAACTTATATAAATGTTTTCAAATGCGGTGTAATTCTACCTAATTGTGTTAAATAGTGAAGTCAAAGTCGTGCTTTGACCGAGATTGCTGCAGGATAATCTAAATTGAACAGTGCTCCTTCTATAATTTATTAAACAATTTCAAATTTTAACTTCTCTTTTCCTCTCATCAAAAGGGCAAAGTATGTTTTGCGTTCAAGTTCATTTGATCCGAATTTGAACAAGATTTGAACAAAAAATTGCTCAAACAATTTGCTATTGGCAGTTCAAAATATTTTTTAAGTAAGATTTTTAAGACCATTTATTTACGAGGGAAAGTATCAACATACGAGCTGTACAGCTTATCACAGCGAATCGCTGTTGTGCCTCTGCCTGAACTACATTTAATTTTTTTGATTATTTTTCTGGGCTGGGACATAAGAGTAATCATAGTTCATAAAAAAGCGATAACCAGAAAGTCAAATTTTATAATCAAGATGGTCCGTATTTATTGTTTTATTTCTGATAAAATCCGCCTGTGAAAAGCCGCGAGGCACCGTTTAGAACGACTTCATTTTTTAAAACGTTTCTGTGGGCGAACTGAAAGCAACAGAACAACCAAAAAGCAATTCTCCGTGTACAGAAACACTGTACAAACGCGTCAAATATTCCAGGCAAAATTTTTGATCATTCCGAAGTGACGTTTTATCGATGAGACGAAAATGAAGCGCTGACTCTTGACGAGGCAACAATAACTGTGAAATTTATTTTCAATTTTTTTTCCAGGTAGATTGAATTATTACAATGGAACCGAATGCGAAAAGACCAGTTCCAGTTGCTGACCAGACATCGTCCGGATCAGCAGCAATGGCGACTCCTCCCTTCAAGAAGATCAACACAACTGGATCTCTGGAAGCAGTGGCACAGGAGATAGCAGCTGCGCGTAAGAGTGCAGTTGAATTGTCCAGTATTCCGGAGAAGGGAGAGACGATGGAGCTGGATAATTTTGCGGCAGTGAGGGAGAGGGAACTGATGGCGGAGGTGGATTTGAAGAGGAAGATCAGGATGACACCAGTGTCCACTGATGACCAGGAGGTTGTACTGACTCTTTGTTTTAATAGCTTGAAATTTATCCTCTGTTGGACTGAAAAATAAAAAAAAAACTGCAGCTGTTTGTGTGATAAGATTTGGTCAAAAATTTAACACTGCAGCTGTTTGTAAGCTAAATGAGAATTGCTCGAAAATAAGGATTCCTGAGATATTTTCATTGTTTTGCGTTTTAGGTTAGAAAACAGCTGAGATTATTTGGCCAGCCCATAACATTGTTCGGAGAAGGACCTGCCGAACGCAGAGTGCGTCTAAGGGAACTCATCGCTCTTAGAGACGACGAGAAATTTAAGAAGCCAGACTTACCTCTCCCTGCTCCTAGATCCGACTCCGGAACTGGAACAAGCCAGGCGAATGAAGCCAACAGAACCTGGTACCACGAGGGTCCAGCAGCTCTTAGGACTGCCAGACTTTGGATAGCGGAATACTCTTTGCCCAGAGCCGAAGAGAGGTTGAAAAGCCAGCGGAAATTGAGGCAGGAAGGTGATGCTTTGAAGTCATGGAGGGCAATGTTGCAAGAGCAGCAGAGTACAATTAGGACACTGTCAAATTCGCACAGTCAAGTGGGGGATACAAGACCGCTGACACATTGCACCTTCTCACCCAACGGAGAGGTTAATATAATAGAAATTATGGATACAGAGTGGTACTATTTGGGTGGTTTTAATAAGTTACCCGTATCATATATGATGGCAATGGAACATTTCTAGCATTTTTCAAGAGTTAAGCATTTGCTTGTTTTTTTTTTTCAATGCTGCAAAAATTGTGCCAATGATTTTACTTAAGAGGAATCCATAATTACTGTTAATTAACATTTTTGTCTTACCTTTATCTTCTAGATTATTGCGACCGCCTCTTGGACTGGTTTATGTAAGCTGTGGAACTCCGAATCCTGCGAGGAAATTAGAGTTCTACGAGGCCATAACATCAACATGTCCTGTATCGAGTTCCACCCACACGCAACACTCTCCATGCCAGACTCCGCCTATGGATGTATGGCCTCAAGTGACCATTCAGGTGTGGTCAATCTTTGGTCTCTTGTCAGTGAAACACCGTCAGCTACTCTAACCGGACATAACTCACGTGTTGCAAAACTTGCTTTTCATCCGTCTGGAAGGTTTTTGGCAACGTGTTGTTATGACTCATCATGGAGGTTATGGGACTTAAATAAGCAAGAGGAGCTGTTATTTCAAGAAGGCCATACAAGGCCAACTTATGACATATCGTTTCAATGTGATGGATCAGTGTGCGCTACTGTTAGTTTAGACTGTTTCGGTCGTGTTTGGGATTTGCGTACAGGTAGATGTATCATGATCATGGACGGTCACCAAAGACCTGTCTACAGTGTGAACTTCTCACCAAATGGCCATGAAATGATAACAGGATCTGAGGACAATTGTGTGAAAGTATGGGACTTGAGATCGCGAAGATGCAATTACACTATACCTGCTCATACTAGCATGGTAACGAAGGTTAAATTTGAACCGAATAGAGGACATTATATCGCAAGTGCGTCTTTTGATGGGACTGTTAAAGTGTGGAGTCACCCAAATTGGACACCGCTTATTACTTTAAAAGGCCATGACAGCAAAGTTACTTGCTTAGATATCAATCAAAACTCGTCGACTCTTTTGACGTGCTCGTTTGACAGGACTTTTAAATTGTGGAATCCTGAATAGTTGAACCAGTTTTGTTTTGTTGATACTTGAGTATACAACATACTTGATTATAAAGTTAATATTTGAGTATACTTTGAATGTAGTTGCAGTATAAAAAATCTGTTTTAAATCTCAAATTCTGTAATATGCTTTATCGACTGATAGGACTAGCCATGCCAGATTTGATGCATTTGTATAAATGAAGACCTTTTCAAAAAGCATACTTAGAAAGATTTGTTTAAAATATAGTTGATTTTTTACAAATGAAATTACGAAGTTGATTTTTTCAGATCATTGTTTGAATAATCAGGATGGGCATGGAAATTGAATCTTGCGCCGGTCACAAGGGAGACAGAGGAAAGAAGCTGACCAAATTACCCAAAAAGATCTGCAAGAGGAAACATGTGCCCAAGAGGAAGTTTGTCAAGGACGTAGTTGTCGAGGTTATAATCAAATCTGTGTTTTTTGAAGCTACATTTATTTAGAGGAATCGGTCATGTTTGAGATATAGATGGATGCAGTGAAGGAAGTCGCATTGAGCGAAATGGTTTTTTGGGCTTATCAGTACTGTTTTCATTTGAAAACGAGCCATCGTGGATTTACGGCATAAATTTAAAGTCAGTTTTTGTCCATTTGCGATTTTCTAATTCTTTTTAAGAGTCACTGAACGTAGTGAAGACTCTTATATAGGTCTTGGTGATTTTTTTCTGTTCATTTTTTCTGGAATTTCTGGTTTTGTTCACGCTGAAGTTTGATTTTTCGCGATTTTTTTTCAGTCTAGTTAATTTCCTTTGTTATGAGGAAAGCAAATTCCACTACTGAACAGCAAAAACTTTAAGGTCACAGAAGTCGAGATTGACTTCTAATTTCGAAATTGGAATTTAATTATCAGATTTCCCAGCGAAATAAAAATTCGATCTTTTGATCCAGTTTTCTCAAAATGGGTTAATTTAATCAAAAAGTTGCCTATCATGAACTGTTCTTAATTTTCAAAGAGCTTTGAAGGCATCTATTTTTTTCTTTAAAATTCGAAAGTTAAAACGTTAAAATTCAAGAAACGAGTCAATTTTTTTTATTATTATTTTTTTCTGTTTCCAATGTTTTATGATTGAGGATTTAGTATGCTGTTAGCCAATCAAAACGGGCTGTCTAAAGTCAGAGTTGGGTCAAATAGCGTATAAGAATAACCCCTCTTATCATAATGTATTCGATCGACAGACTTTTCGACTTGAAAGCTTCAAAATTTCGTTGCGCTCAAGGTCAGACTCGTCATCGACTATAAGTTTCAGCTTCAATTATCTTGATTTGTTGCAAGTTTACATGTTTGTGTTAGGTAATGGGCTACACTCCTTACGAGAGACGAGCGATGGAGTTGTTGAGGAATCAGAGAGACAAAAGGGCACTCAAGTACATCAAGCAGAGACTAGGATCCCTCCAGCTGGCCAAGAAAAAGAGGGAGGAACTGGGAGCTGTCATCATGCAGTCCAGAACATAAAGAGAACAACACATTAGAAGTCTCATCACTCGGGACTGTAAAAGAAAGAAAGCTGTTAGACTGAATTTAAATTGAACTGACTCATCATTTTTTAAGTTATCAAATTTGATGATGATTGAATGATTCACCAGTGTGAAGTGAATTCAGATTTTGACGGCATATCTATGTAGATTGAGAAAGCAAAGTTCTAAGCAAGTAGCAAAGAAAATTCCCATGGCTTATTTTGTTCCTACCACCCACCTAGGGATGAAATGAACTATGGGCCAGGGTGCCACAAAGACAGGTCGCACGAGGGGATGTGATATATCATGTTGAGGGTTGGCGACAATTCGTAAATTTAACAAGGTGTCAATTTGTCACCAGCGTCGATTCGTATCAAGCTACAATTCGTATCAATGTTTTGTTTTATGTCGGGCAATTGAAAGAAACAAATGAAAGCTTCATTAACATACTAATTTGGGTTAATTTTACCAAAAAAAGCATATTTTTTTTGTGAAATTCAGAGCTTTTAGGACATATATATTTTTTTCTTTAAATTTCGAAGGTTCAAAGTTTTCAGAAAACAAGTCAGATTTTTTTGTCTCCTTGCGTGTATTTCTTTTTTCCAACAGTGATTTGGCCTTGTTTTATCGTTTTATGCATCGGAGCTGTGTGCACTTTGCTTGAAATAAATAATCGGCCCAGAAAGTTGAACTGCATTTTGCGAGCAGATGCCAAAACTTCTGATACAATGAACATCAATGAACATCTTGAATCATTGCAACTAAACTTTATACTTGATTCATTCGAACAAGATGAGATTAATATCTAATAGAGACTGACTGCTAAAATCAACTTTGCTAAATTACCAAGTTTTTCGTGAATCTGATGAGCTACGGTGACTCATTTATGCGTCGAGTCACAACTGTTTTAGAGCCAATTTGTGAAAAACGTTTATTGACAAACCGAATTAGTTGAATTTCACTCAAAATGTTCCTAACTTCACTAGCAAATTACTTGCTTCTAATCCTTGGTTATCCAAAGCTGCAATTGGATTCCAATAAAACAAGTTCAGAAAAAGTCACCGGTACTCAAAGTTATATCAAATTGCAGCCGATAGACACATCTTCACAAACTGAAGAGATGATAGAAGTTAAAACGTATAAGCGCCCTTGGGAAGTGAACGGCAATGAATCATTTCCGGCAGAGTTTGATTGGAGAAACATGAGTGGGCGGAGTTTCACTTCTATAATGAGGAACCAACACATTCCTGTGTACTGTCCCAGCTGCTGGGCTTTTGCATCGACCAGTGCATACGCCGACAGGTAAGAAAATCCGAGCAGTCAAGCTATCTCATCAGTGAACAAATCTACCGTTTGACATATCCATTGAATGTAGGTAAGAAGGAAAGCTTCGCGAATTTTTTTGTAATGTGAATTTTTAGAATAATTTCTTGGAACCGCAATTATTGCTTTTACTTCGTCTTGAAACATCTCATTGGAACTCAATCACGCTCAGTCGAATTGTAAATTTAATTTTCTTTCCCATTCATTTCAGTCAAAATATTCTAAGAAACTGGCTGGAGTTCTTAAGCACAAGTAAAAAGTTTCAAAACGATAGTACACTACTCAATCACAGTTCAGTAGAGCTCGGTGTTTTGCGTTCTTGCAACAAAATCTATTTTAGATACACAATCTCCAAGTATAGACAAACGGGGGCTATAGATACATCTTTGGTTCTCTCAGTTCAGCATATCCTGTCATGTGCCAATGCAGGGAAATGTGTGCACCCAGTAAACCATCCTGGTTCAGTACTATTAGCTTACAAGTGAGTACAGTCCAACTTCACTTAATGTTTGAAGTCTTCCAGTTCCCTTACTGATAATATGCTGAAAGGCAATCGGTTGAAAGGTGGACAGATTTCTGAATCGCTTCACTGATCTCCACTTTTGTCCATTTGAGAATGAAAATTTGAACCAAAATTCTGAAGCCACCGAATTACATCCGTTAGGCTGCAAATGTGTGCCTCGAATTATTTTAAACTGATAGTTTTAAGAGATACAGAAATATTTTAAAAATATAAAAAAAGAGGGAAAAAAATCCTGTTCGAAAAAGTCAGGTATTATTACACCTGCGAGAGCAAGTGTCTTGAAACCGGTAGACTTTTTCCATTAAACAACTTTTCTTACACGTCAACCTGCTTTTTTGTTGAACCTTTACAACCTCCAGGTTCCTTCCCACTGGCGCTAGAGTTAACGCCGTCGCCTTTGTACTATTAGACCAGGAGCTTGACTCGCGGCCGGACTTTGTTTTTTTTTTCAGTATATCTGCAATTGAAAAAAAAATTTCGGTATTAATTGAATTGTTATATTTCCGTTATTTTGCTAAGTTTTTTCGGCTTCGCTGCCGCACAACAAACCTAGTTTGTCCTGTAAGCTATTTTCAATGCAAGTGCAAGTGTTTTTCTTTGTAGGTTCAGGAAGGTGGACTTATACTTTTAATGTCTTTTAAATCAATTTGTTTTTCGGCTCAACAGGTGTCTGCTCAAAAATTTCCGGCTTAGTTGCGCCACATCACGGATTTTTTTAATGTTGTAGGCATTTTTCTTTGCAGTTGAAAGTGCAAGTGTTGTGCATTGTAGTCTCAGTTGGGACTTAAAATTAAAGGTTTTCTTATGAAATCATATTTTTTTCTGATCAGCTTGTCTGCTCAAAGATTACCGGATTTTTTCCCTCTTCGTAAGTTTTGTTCCGTTGCTAATTCATTTTTCAAATATCTGATTTGTTAGCCCAGAGTAAGCTTCCATCGAGACATACGAAATTTAAGTTTTTGGTAGAGCTAGTTTTTTCAACGTTTTCCATTTTTTCTACTCATTTTTTTAATGGTGTATTATTGTTTCTTGCTAAACCTGCTAGATTCAATAAACGGTAAAAAGAATTTTTGTAGACCAGGCACATACACTACAAAAATAAATTTAGACAAAAATAGTCGATTAATGTGAAAAAAAATGTGAATAAACATAAACAAGCTGTTTTAAGCCTAATTGCTCGCTTTATTCGCTCGAAATTGAATAAAAAATAAAAAATTTAAACGATACTGAGAATACTCGATGCTGAAAACTTTTTGAAATTTTCAAATTTCGTTCGAATCACGACTGAAAAGACTTCAGTTTGAAATGTCAATCGACCCATCCCGATGATATTTTTTGGTACCTGATTTTGCGTGGAAAAGACACGAAAAGAATAAAACTAAAACACACCCGAATACAAAGCTTTTCCCAATATTTTTAAATGGTCAAAACAAACATGGAAAGGCTTGTTTAATCGACACAAAAACAATTTTTGATTAATGAAGCTGATGAAGTTTTGAGCGTCTTTGAGTTGGTTTTATTCGAACGGTTTCAGGGGTAACTTCCCAAATGGCATAAAACTGAAAACGTTCCCAAATGGCATAAACTTCAAGTTTTTTTAGTAATTCAAACGTTTTCTATCAATTTCGAATTTTAACATTTTGTCAAGAACGAAATCATGTAAACAAGATTTGGAATTAATTGCTTCAACACAAAAGTTAAGCGACAACTAATCACAAAAAGCTTATCAAAAACCGCAAGCTCATGCTTTTCGCTTTTGATTATAATAATTTCTACAATTTTTTCAAGACAAAATGACAATCAGCATTTGAGTTGACAATTTGACCAATTTTCGTACTTTGTTCACGAAAAATTTTATTTCGATAATTTGACCAATTTTCGTACTTTGTTCACAAAAAGAATTATTTCGATTTCTTAAATGCAATTTGCATGAATTTCATGTCATTTGTGATTGTGAGTGGGAGGTAGAAATGGGTTCTGTTTTCTTAAAAATGAATCGAATTATATCATATTTTGGTGGAATGAAATCTTGTGACTCAAGTGAAAGGCTTTGAATTACCTCGTTAGTTTTTTTTATTAAGTTGGACGGGTTTCTTTCAACTGGTTCAAAAATTTTTGTCGAAATCGTTGGCTCTTTTTTTTTGGGGGGGGGGGGGGGTTAGGAAAAAGAGCCAAATCGTTCTTTGTCCAAATTTTCAAAAGTAGCCTCATGGGTGTGTTTATTTTTGTTCTCTATAATATTAGTAACTTGCAAATTTGTAATAAATCGACATTTTCTAGATGGTTCCACGCAATCATAACATTGGGCTTTTTTGGTTTTACTGTTCTTCTTAAAGCTGTAGCCATCAACAACCAAATTAGTACCGCCTCTTGTTTTTGACGGAACAATGCTGAACTCGCCTATTTTAAACGTATAATTAAGACTGTATATTAAAAGTTTAATTAAGACTATATTATTTCAAACTGCGATATTATGATGCAGTTCATTCAAGTTTCGATGGCCAAAGTTAACGCTTCTTTTTTTTGAATATTTGTCGTTACACTTAGTAAATGGAAAGGAAGAATAAACTTTTGCCATCGATTTTTGATTATCAAGACCACATGGTCTAGTGGTTAAGCGTTTGTCTCGAAAAGTTGTAGATTATTTCCGCGTAGGTTGAAATCCAGCTCTCTACTTTTTATTTTTGAGAATTATGATTTGAAGTTTATGCTAGTTGATACATTTTCTTGTTCTCAAATTTTCAAAATTAGCATCATGGGTGTGTTTTTTTGTTCTCTATAATATTAGTAACTTCCAAATTTGTAATAAATCGACATTTTCTAGATGGTTCCACGCAATCATAACATTGGGCTTTTTTGGTTTTACTGTTCTTCTTAAAGCTGTAGCCATCAACAACCAAATTAGTACCGCCTCTTGTTTTTGACGGAACACTGCTGAACTCGCCTATATTAAACGTATAATTAAGACTGTATTTTAAAAGTTTAAATAAGACTGTATATTATTTCAAACTGCGATATTATGATGCAGTTCGTTCAAGCTTTGATGGCCAAAGTTAACGCTTCTTTTTTTTGAATATTTGTCGTTACACTTAGTAAATGGAAAGGAAGAATAAACTTTTGCCATCGATTTTTGATTATCAAGGCCGCATGGTCTAGTGGTTAAGCGTTTGTCTCGAAAAAATGTAGATTATTTCCGCGTAGGTTGAAATCCAGCTCTCTACTTTTTATTTTTGAGAATTATGATTTGAAGTTTATGCTAGTTGATACCTTTTCTTGTTCTCAAATTTTCAAAATTAGCATCATGGGTGTGTTTATTTTTGTTCTCTATAATATTAGTAACTTGCAAATTTGTAATAATTCGACATTTTCTAGATGGTTCCACGCAATCATAACATTGGGCTTTTTTGGTTTTACTGTTCTTCTTAAAGCTGTAGCCATCAACAACTAAATTAGTACCGCCTCTTGTTTTGACGGAACAATGCTGAACTCGCCTATATTAAACGTATAATTAAGACTGTATTTTAAAAGTTTAATTAAGACTGTATATTATTTCAAACTGCGATATTATGATGCAGTTCCTTCAAGTTTTGATGGCCAAAGTTAACGCTTCTTTTTTTTTGAATATTTGTCGTTACACTTAGTAAATGGAAAGGAAGAATAAACTTTTGCCATCGATTTTTGATTATCAAGACCGCATGGTCTAGTGGTTAAGCGTTTGTCTCGAAAAGTTGTAGATTATTTCCGTGTAGGTTGAAATCCAGCTCTCTACTTTTTATTTTTGAGAATTATGATTTGAAGTTTATGCTAGTTGATACATTTTCTTGTTCTCAAATTTTCAAAATTAGCATCATGGGTGTGTTTATTTTTGTTCTCTATAATATTAGTAACTTGCAAATTTGTAATAAATCGACATTTTCTAGATGGTTCCACGCAATCATAACATTGGGCTTTTTCGGTTTTACTGTTCTTCTTAAAGCTGTAGCCATCAACAACCAAATTAGTACCGCCTCTGGTTTTCGACGGAACAATGCTGAACTCGCCTATATTAAACGTATAATTAAGACTGTATATTAAAAATTTAATTAAGACTGTATATTATTTCAAACTGCGATATTATGATGCAGTTCATTCAAGTTTCGATGGCCAAAGTTAACGCTTCTTTTTTTGAATATTTGTCGTTACACTTAGTAAATGGAAAGGAAGAATAAACTTTTGCCATCGATTTTTGATTATCAAGACCGCATGGTCTAGTGGTTAAGCGTTTGTATCGAAAAGTTGTAGATTATTTCCGCGTAGGTTGAAATCCAGCTCTCTACTTTTTATTTTTGAGAATTATGATTTGAAGTTTATGCTAGTTGATACATTTTCTTGTTCTCAAATTTTCAAAATTAGCATCATGGGTTTGTTTATTTTTGTTCTCTATAATATTAGTAATTTGCAAATTTGTAATAAATCGACATTTTCTAGATGGTTCCACGCAATCATAACATTGGGCTTTTTTGATTTTACTGTTCTTAAAGCTGTAGCCATCAACAACCAAATTAGTACCGCCTCTTGTTTTTGACGGAACAATGCTGAACTCGCCTATATTAAACGTATAATTAAGACTGTATATTAAAAGTTTAATTAAGACTATATTATTTCAAACTGCGATATTATGATGCAGTTCATTCAAGTTTCGATGGCCAAAGTTAACGCTTCTTTTTTTTGAATATTTGTCGTTACACTTAGTAAATGGAAAGGAAGAATATACTTTTGCCATCGATTTTTGATTATCAAGACCGCATGGTCTAGTGGTTAAGCGTTTGTCTCGAAAAGTTGTAGATTATTTCCGCGTAGGTTGAAATCCAGCTCTCTACTTTTTATTTTTGAGGATTATGGTTTGAAGTTCATGCTAGTTGATACATTTTCTTGTTCTCAAATTTTTTTGGTGGTCGAGCTTCATGCTAGTCAAGCGGTCACCCAAGGGCCTACCAATGGGGAGTTTCAGTAAAAAAAACAAATTTCTGTAATGCCATTTCAAGCAAAATCTTGATTTTCTGTAAATTTTGTTGATTATATGATGAATTTGATCTAATATCGACTTCGTCTTTAAAAGAAAGCGGACCAAGTGAACAATTTCCCTTTATATCAATTTATTTGGGGCAGTAAGTTCACTTGGTTAAGAGTAATTTTTTTCCAATCAGATTTGAGCATAGTACATGCAGTCCTGACGTCTTGAATTTGCCATTTACTTTTATGGGGGAGATTGTTCACTTGGTTTCGGCTATCATAGAGCTCGACTAATATAAAACTTTAAAATTGAAAAATGCATCGACCAGTATAAAAATCCAAATAGAAAACTCAAACAAGTCCCATGCTCTCGCAAGTGAACCATACACCGGCAAAATTAAACCTATGCACAAAATATGGATCCAACATCAGGGGCGGATCTAGGATTTTTTGGAGGGGGGGGGGGGTGGGTACTTTTTTAGGCACTTTTTGAAAAATGTTGACAAAAAAATCGCGTTTTTTTTGGCGCGCGCTCCCCCTCAAAGTTAGTATATATTGGCGCCAAAGGCGCCTTTAGAAAAATTTTAGGGTCGGTCGGCAAAAAATGGATTTCTTAAAAAGTACCAAAGGGGGGACCCTTTGGGTCGGCAGGGGGTCGAATCCCTGAGGGGGGGGGGGGGGGGCGTCCGCCCCCCATAAATCCGCCCCTGTCCAACATACAATTCCAGGATCTCTTTAACTCTATTCGCCCTCGGGTACCTAGTAACGAAAATCCCCCTGTAAAGATTTAATTCAACGGTAAAGCATTTAATAGTTTAAAACCCAGACCCCCACTCCAACCCCACCCCCAACCCCCCCCCCCCCCCCCCCCCTCCCAAGTGACGTACCGTAGAATACCCCCCTTAGCCCATTTGTAATTTGAAAATCATTTCTGTATAAAATATAAAATATGCATTTCGAACGATCCCACTAATTACATTTGACCAACTTTACATATGTTAACTTTGCCTTCAGTTCGAATTTCCGGCCAATCGGAATAGAGCGTTTTACATGCAGCGCTTAGTATATTTAATTTACATTGATAGCTGGGGTGGAGGATCTTAACTTGGTATAATGGGGGATGTTAATTTGATCGATCAAATTTGTGTTAATCCGCCCCTATAAAGAAATAGGATCAAGTTAACATTTCCCCCCCCCCCCCCCCCTAGTAGACCAAGTTAAAATCCTCCATTCCAGCGCTTAAGTTAAATTAAATTTGCTATGCGCTGCATGTAAAATGCTCGATTCTGATTGGCTGAAAATTCCCACTTAGAACCAAGTTAACATCCTCCCCCCTAAACTTGTTTAGGGGGGAGGATGTTAACTTGGTCCAAGAAAAACCTTAAATTGGCTTCATTTTAAGAATTCAAACTCTTTCTTGAGAGGGAATTTTTTTGGGAGGATCGAGGGGAAAGGTTGTATGTTAGGGGGGATGGGCGTATGATTGTTATGTTGATCCATTCATTTTGCTAGTTGATTGCTTAATTTCTCATTTGCTCAATTTTTTTCCTCAGAAAAGCAAATTTGGTTCAAATTGAACGGATTTATAGGCGGATAATCAACAAACCGCCATATCTTGAAGCCGAAATTGCATGAGAGTTACTTAAATTACTTCAAAATTACCAGCAATTGCACCACAACAAGGACAATCTGCTGTTATATTGCATAACAATATTTATTTTCGGCTTGTTCGAATTGTAATCCTATTTTCGGTCTGTTGGCCCTTCGGCTTGTTGGCCTACCACCGGATTATGATTGTTGTTTTGTGTTTCTGAGAAATAAAGCTATCAAATTTGTGCTAGTCAATACATTTTCATGTTTTCAAACTTTTATGCTAGTGAGATTTATGCTAGTCGAGAGGTCACCGTTTCAGCCTTTAAGCTCAGAAATTTAATCGTAGTCGTCTGACAACAATAAATCAGAGTATGTTTCTGCAGGTACATGCATGAGTCTGGTGTGCCGGATGAGACATGTAACAATTACAAAGCAGTGGACCAAGAGTGCAGCGACTTCACTCGGGTGAGAATAGATTACAACAAGAAGAGAAATGGTTAAAGTCGTCTTTTTCGGCCCATGTGAACAATCTCCCCCCTTAATAGACCAAGTGAACAATCTCCCCCCTAAAATTTAATGGCAAATTCAAGTCGTAAGGCCTGTATGTGCTATGTTAAAATCTGATTGGCTGAAAAAATATTACTTTAAACCAATTGAGCTCTCTACCCCCTAAAATGATTTGGAGGGGAGATTGTTCACTTGTTCCTCCTTTTCTAAGTCATGTTAATGATTTCTCAAGGGGTGTAGCGCTAAGCATGTTAGACTATAAGCGTGCGCTAATTGCGCTTTAAATAGAAGTTCTTTCAATCGAAAAAAGGCTTATTTTTTCATTTTGTGTTTAAACTCATTTATTAGCTGAGTGCATTAAAATTTTAATTTTTGCCTAGTTAAACACATGACGAAACGCACGACAATTGACATGACAAATATCAGTGAACAAATCTTGAATAAGCGAGCAAGTCAACTGCAATCTTGGGATGCTAAGATGCACACATAGTGTAGAATTGGTTATTCTACTGTATTGTATGCCATGGTAACCTAAGCGTTAGACTGATTAGTCATTAAGTTAAGTAGTACAGCACACAAAGGGTCGAGCTCAAAATAGTTCAAGTTTGGAAGAATTCGTCACTCTATGCCAGAAAATTTAAAAAAAAACAACAAAACCGGCGAACCCAAAGAAAGCTAATGTTCTTAAACTCAGAGGGGAGGTACCAGAGATGATTTGACTCCTGCATACGAAAAACGGGACTTCTGAGACCCATGGGGGGCAAGTGATAACGGTCCCGGGAAATGTAATTGGCCCTATCAGAACTCGGCAGCTAGCGGCATTTTTTGGCTCAAATTTTAGTATTTTGAAGGCCTATTTGAGGGAAGCTTAAGCTTACAACCTCAGACTCCCAGAACCCCACTTCCGGTTTTTTGCCCTCAGAAAGCAAAAAATAGACCTCTGGTGAGTACAACGCATCCGGCGACTCCTTCTGGTGTTAATGCCCATTTCCAGGGAAAAAGGATAATAGACCTTGGAAACTTAGAAAGTATTAATGGGATATGTATGAAACTTGGTAAGCAGGACGCGCATGGGATTCTGAACCTGTCCGAGAAGGTTTGACCCCGGATGATCCCTAGGTCACCCCACTTTATTTTGACCTTTGGGCGTTTTTTCCCCAAAATTGCATAGAAAAGCCCGGAATTAAAACCGGAAAGTGGCGTATTTCCCAGCCCAACCACTAGAAATAGGAATTGTTCACCTTAACAACAATTGGGAGGAAACTTATATATTGGGAACTAAAGCGGAAGCTGATAGCGATACAGTTTTACACTGCAACCTTGGGGTAGTAAAATTAATTCAAAGAAGACTTATTAAAAGTTGGGTTCAGCTTATATGATCTATAAATAGCAATTCAACTAAACTAAAGAAAAGTAGTTCCTGAGGAAATTGGCAGTTATAGGAGCGCAGCGTGTGAATAAAAACTCCTGAATAGTATGAACGGACCAGGAATTTACTTGACTCACCGGATGTGACTTTTTGGTTTAATTTGACCCTAATAGACGAACTACGTTCCCCTGACAGCTAGAAAGACGGGATTGGAATAGAGTATAGATGGAAAGTTTAGATGCTTAAAAAGAATTAGGTACCCATGAAAAGTGTCTCTCCATAAACTCGGGATGTCGGAACGTTAAAGACATTTAAAGTCGATATTTAAGGTCATGACATCGGGAGACTCACTGAATAAACATAGCATGGTTTAGAGGTTGAGTTGAACTAGAGGGCTGAAGTTCACTGAGGTTAAAATTTAATTGATTAGGACTGTGTGAAAATTGTTTGCTTGGTTGACTTGTGACACCTACCGCATACTGGGTATCTAATAAGCGTGAAAAGGTTTATAAAAGAAACCAAACTTGGCACGTGACAGTGTTGACAGGGGGAGGGAAGTAGTCATAAAGCATGTGCAAATGAGTAATATAAGCGGAAGCCGGGACTGATAGGGAAAGGCGTGACTCAACTAATTTTAAGTGTAAAGGCTGATAAGGAACTGGAGGGTAAAGGAGAGCCTTCAAGAGTCAGCATAATTATTGCTAGTGAGTCGAATAGTTTGTTCTCGGAGTAAGAGAACAATTATAGCAGAGTCAGTAGTTGTTTGTTTCTCATCAGAGTGAGAACAGTGATTCTTGAAGCTAACGAAGACAGTTAATGTACCTCAAAGGAATAGTAGCCCGTAGAGTTATTATGTTACTGTGTGTAGTAATTGTTTAATTAGGATTCTCTAGAGACACACACACACACAGAGAGAGAGAGAGAGAGAGAGAGAGAGATAATCGTTTAATGGAGCCAGTTGAAAGTTAAATTGCAATTAGAAAATTGTGCTGATAAATCGTCGACCCTTTCTTGTTGATCAGAATGTTAGATCATATCCTGACCACTAAGAGCCATCTGTATTTGGACTTATAGTTTTTCAATTTAATTATCATGGAAACTGTTGCAATTGTTTTGAGTAGACGAGACAATCTTAAGAGCAGTACACAACAAGGGGGCAAGCAACATAAAACAGTATAGAATAGTTGCCGCCAATTTAACCTTTTCCGAATTGTAGATAGTAGTTGCCGCCCCGCTGACTTCACTACCCAAGGGACCAATTTGCGGTGTCGTTACGAGAGAGAGAGAGAGAGAGAGAAAAAAAACAAATCTAGAGTAGCAATCCCCTAAAAATACACACAGGGACGGATCTAGGATTTTCTGGAGGGTGAGCGGATTATTAAAAAATGTTGTCGAACTTTTTTTTAGTTCGATCAAACTGATTTTCCGAGCTCTCGCAAAGCACTAAAAAGGCCAAATTTTCTGCGCCGCAGGCAAAGTTGCAAAAAACAGGCCAAAATGGCGTTTTTAGGCATCTTTTGAAAACATTTGACCAAAAAGTGCTTTTTATAGCGCGCGCTCCCCTTCAAAGTTAGTGTGTATTCCCACCGAAGGCGTCTTTGAAAAATTTTAGGGTCAGTCAGCCAAAAATGGAGATCTCAAAAAAGTACAAAGGGGGGTCGAGTTCCTTTGCGTCGGCAGGGGTTCAAATACCTGAGGCGAATACGAATGTTGACGACTAAGTCTAATTCATCAAATTGCCACGTGGTAGCATGGCTCTCAAATCACACCACGCACTAAAACCGACACTAATTTGGAGAAAAAAAAACTTCGTTTTTCGTTATTTTTATGAATATGGTCGGAGCGCTCTTTGAGACTTGCACAGCAACCTGCTATCCTTGTTCCACTTGCGGTTGCTTGTAAAGCTTACTTGTAATCGGGAACTTAACTTTTTTCCCGTAAGCATCTTTTTTTTGCAAATCTGTAAGAAATGAATCTTGCTGTGTTTTGGAACCTCAACAAAATTCAGGCTCCTTACACATACCCTAGAGGTAAATTACACGTCTTAGAAACTCAAGGTCTCGGATTTGATTTTTGAACAGACCTTGTTTTTGTGCGATGTGTAGAATTTGATATTTTTTATGAAAAACTTGGTTTGCCGAGCTATTTTTTGTCTATTGTTTCTTGTATTTAGAGCAGTTTTAACTATAAATGAAAGTTTTCCCATAGTTTATAACATTGCTGTTTTCGATTATGATCGATTATCCGTTTTTGTGTTTTAATGGTGAAATATGTTTGACTGGTGCTGTTTTGAAAAACGAAAACAGGTTTTTATTCTTTTTGTGTTCCACGAGGAATGGGATCTGATAACATCAAGCATCAAACTTTTCGGTGAAAAAATTTTGTTTTCGACTCAACTGACGTCTAATTTAAAGTTTTCGGCTGAGTTGTCGCTAGGCAAAATTTTTGAATGCTTCTCAACTGCACTAATTGTATTTCTTGACTCTTTTCTCAGGTGTATGCAATTTTTGCTAATGCAGTTTAATTTTTTTGTTCTACTTACGTGCTTCAGTCCTATTTTTTGTGCCGTGTATGCGTTAAATTCTACCTTCAATGCCATTTGCAGGTTAAGTTTGCAGGGCTTGAAATTGATCACATAGTTTGTAGTGATTTTAACGTAAATTTTCTGTTAAACTCGACAAAGCGGAAAAAATTGAGGATATTATGATAGGAAATGGCATGTTAGAAAACAAAATGAGCTGCCTCCCAACAAGAGTGTCAGAACGTAGTAGCACTTTGATTGACTTATTTTTCTGTACATCAAGTTTTTCAACCGAAACCATCAAAAATTCAGTGTCTGATCATTTTGGTGTTCAGTTTTTTTTTAATTTTCTGGAAAAGGACGTTTTTACTAAAAAACTTTCGCTAGAAACTGGAACAAGTTGAAAAAAAGGGATAAAAGTGAGAAGTTAAGTTTTTATTTGGAACATGAGATTGGCAAATGTATGCAGTTATGGAATCCCGAAGACCCTCAAATGTCTTCTAGGAGTTTAGAAAAAATAAATTCGATCCTTATGAAGGCAACTGATACTTTTTTTCCAAAGCGTTTACTAGTACAATCAGAAAGACATCCATGGATTGACAATGAAGTAAAAAATGCAGCAGCAAAAAAGCGACGGTTACGACAAGAGTTTTTGAATATTAAAACAACGGATGCCCGGAAAAATATAGTTTTCAAAATAAAACTGTCAAAAGCCTAATCATCCGTAAAAAAAAAAATACTATCAAAATAAACTAATGCTTGAGTCTAATTGTAAAACGAAAACATTTTTTCGAAACTTTTAAGGAAATGAGTGGAAAAAGAAAAAATTCTAAATCTTTAAATCTATCTAACGGGGACGCTAAGCATTTTAACGAATACTTCGCAAATATTGGCGCCAGACTTACACAGAGCAAACCAAACTGCATGGAAAAAAAATGTTATACGTCAGCAGCAATCGTTGTTTTTGAAAAAAACTGATTTAATTGAAGTCATTGAAGTCATCGAAAGTTTAAAAAATAAATATAGTACAGATTGCTATGATATCAACACTGTTCTCGTCAAGCTATT